TATCGGTTGGAACAGATTGATCGTCCAATTTGTACTTCAGTGCCGAAAGCAATGGTAACCGCACATTAACGAACGAACAACTCTTTTCGTTAAGTGATCTATGTGTAAAGCAAAGGTACCTCAAATGAGTAAGCCCTGGTGCTAACACATCGTACTAGTAACAAAAAGATAAGATGATTAAGTGGTATAATATGAACTGTGCACCATTATCACCATCTGATAAAAGTATGATAACATAAAAGGAGATCGACTTACATCATTTGCCTCACTGACGATAAAACCGTGATCTTCAGCTTGTCCGCCAGCCTCGGCATAGAAGATAGTGCGATCAAGGACAAGGCCACAAATTTTGCCTGTTCCTTCTACACTATCCACAAAACCTTCCGCCGTGCGGATAGCGATGATCGATGCCGTACACTCCGGGAACACTAGCACATAATATAGGATGTAACAGTACACCTAACACTAGCGACATTAATACTGAGCCATCAAAGGTGGATGATGCTAAAGAGTACTAGTGGGTGCGCTCACCATATCTACGCCTTTTGCTGTTATACTTGTATTCGTATTTGAGGCTATCGTCGGTCAAAGGCACTCCACGATTCTGCAAGATGGCGATGTCGTGGACGTCGAGGTCAATTCCCGATATCCCAGTACTCAAGGTGCTCTGGCTCCTCAGCAGGGCCTCCTCTTTTGCCCTCTCATAGCCATCAACATCAACCTGCGCGGAAGGAGAGATGTAAGCAGCCGCCAAACTTTTCCGAAAAGGGTGATTTATGAAACTCCTGCTAGGCCCACTAGTTAGCGAATTGCTCAAGCCATACCAGGAATGATGCAGACAAAAGTAACAAATTTCCATGAACTCGGCGCACTGTTCATCATCGATCAAGTATCGTAAACATGCAGATGAGGAATAAATAATACAATAAATTGTTAACCGACACACCTCGATACCAACTTCGCTCGTCATGATTTGAATGAGATCCAGAGGGAAGCCATATGTGTCATAGAGGCGCCATGCCACAGCACCAGGCAGGGTATCCGCTCGTGACTTCTTCAATCGCTCCACTTCTTGCTTTAAAAGTCGCTGACCGCGTCGGAGAGTAAGAAGGAACTGTTGTTCCTCTTCGTTAATTAATTTTTTAACCTATAATAAGGCCAAAAACAGGGTCGATTCCCATATCATAATTCATTGCTGAGTTGCATAAAATCGAAGCCGCATGGTAACCAAAAGACGGCAGTACTACCAAAGAAATTTCTGATGAATACCTACTTCCGTTGGATCTTTTCTCACTTCGGGAAAAGCGTCGCCGAGAGAACCAACAACCACATCTACGAGAGAAGAAAAGAAGCCCGGTTTGGCACCGATAACTTCGATGGAATAGCGGATCGCGCGCCGTAGAATTCGACGTAAAACGTAGCCACGACCTTGATTGGAGATCTGACCACCGTCACTCAACGCAATCGTAAGGTTGCGTACGTGATCAGCCAACACGCGATAAGCAAAGTCAAGTCTGCCTTCATCCTCATCCCCCAACTTTCCAGAATACGGTCGGACTCCAGTGGCCTAGATAATAGGAAACTAAATATGAGCCTGATTTTGTATCATGGCAGGTGAAATTGAAACCATGTGGCTCAAATGCGTAAAAAAATGATACATCAGACCGCAGAAGAGTGAATACATTGATTTGAGGAAAAACATACCTTATGTATGACCTCAAAATAAGGTAAGAACAAATTGGTGTCATAATTGGATCGCTTGTTCTGAAGGACAGAGACGATACGTTCCAGACCCATGCCTGTATCCACATGTTTTGCGGGAAGAGGACGTAACGAACCACCTTCCTCCCTGGTTACCAAAGGTACAACGATTCACCACATAACCAAAAATGACTATCTAAACAACAAGTACCTGTTGTACTGCATAAAAACGAGATTCCAGATTTCCAAAACATCAGGATCATCCATATTTACGAGTTTCGAGGCGTCTCTACCACCAATACGATCGTAGTGAATCTCGGAGCACGGACCACAAGGACCGGTCTCGCCCATCTCCCAAAAATTATCCTTCATCCCAAACGGTAAAACACGTTCCGAAGGCACACTAGTTTAAAAATATTGTTCAGATCAATTCAGGATTTTACCCCACTTCAATCCATATTTGACGCACTTCCTCATCAGATTCCAAACCTGCATCTTTGTCACCTTCAAAGTAAGTGACGTAAAACCTATCTTCTGGAAGCTTCCAGACCTTGGTTAGGAGTTCCCACGCCCAGGTACAGGCTTCTCTCTTAAAATAATCACCGAAGGACCAATTCCCAAGCATTTCAAAAAAAGTGTGATGATAAACATCTCGCCCAACATCGTCCAGATCGTTGTGCTTGCCGCCAGCGCGAATGCATTTTTGCGAATTAACGACACGTTTGTATGATGCCATTTCCGTATTTGGATCCACTGTACCCTGAAATATGGGTTTCCACTAATGTGTGGCAAAGTAAATATGCAGCTTATATCAACAAACCTGATTCATTCCCGCATTAGTAAAAAGGAGGCTGGGATCGTTTATTGGTATAACGGAAGACGAATGCACATATTTGTGACCTTTGGATTTGAAAAATTCGATGAACTGCGAACGAACAGCCGCAGCGTCATATCCGCTATCCATGCCGCAAGAAACGCACCGACAATTGGACCTTTCTATAATGGCGGCTTTTAATCAAATCCAGAAAAAGTTGTGCGTAACTTCATAAAAAAATAAATTTGCATTTTAACTACATATGTTGAAAAAATTTTACGGTATAAGATTTGTGCTGCGTTTTTGTAATTATAACTGGCGCATAAGGTAAGACTTGTGTTTGTCAATTCGGCTGCACGGATCTCAAGTATCTCGTGCAGCACCAATAGTCGCGAACCCAGGACCACAAATATGGAGCCCTAAGATATACAATTATTAGTTTACAGCACATTTATTATGGCGTTGATCGGTTTTATTTACTCGGAATTCTTTGTATAAGATTCTTCGTGGCAATGATTGCAGTTGTTCACTTTATTTCAGTTGCTTATATTACTAGGGTGGTGAAGGGCGCTAGACTAGAGCCTTTTAGTGCAATGTGCCGTTCTTCACTTCCTGCCTTTCGGTCATAGTTTTGCTGATGTTCATCGGCAACTCAACAACACTCTCATTCGGAGGGTGGGATCGTCCCCTACCTACGACAGCTTAGTGCGAGCATCTAGAATCCAGCAATAGAGTTCAAGTAATTAGTGACGGCATGTAATACCTGTACATCTGGTCACTCCAATAGTCATCCGACCCTTGTGCGAATGAGTTGTCCTTCACAAAGCCACTTGTGAACTCCTTTGTTCCTTTTAAGCTTTACTTTAACTGATTCTCACGAACAATGGAAAGAGCTCTCAATGGATGCTTTAGTCTCGCTTACTGACATGCTTATGACGAATTCGAGGTTCCTTACAGAAATTTCGTCTTTACATTAAGGTAAAATACCCAATAATAAGATACCACAGCTAACCTTTTGCATTTGTCTCGAGACGAAAAGCATATCCATGCAGACTGATGACAGGAGACGACCTGTGTCACCTTTACAATTGCTCTCCCCATCGTTCAAGGCATCAATACTACGACCGAATTGTGCTATCAGTAGATGACCACTACTCCCAATTGCCATCGCTTTTATTGGCAATCTTACAAAGTACCAGGGGTGTTGAACATAATCCATGTGAGACGCGGAATATAGATTTGAAGAGACTAATCATCACAGTCACTGGAAGGTAATAAGAAGGCCTACTTAGGACACACATCTTGCGCCTCTGAAAACATACAGCGCGAAAACCGGAAAAGTTGTTACGATAGGTTAGCACCTGACAGGCCAATTGCATTCACGCCTAAAATAGTAGTACAGTCTATGGCACGGATGACGGAATCATAAATAGATTATATGGCGCCACTGTAGTATATTAACATGTTTGAAGTCCACTTTTGCCAACAACTTTGGCCTTAGCATCTGCACTGATACGGAAGTTGTCAAGCTTATCAGTTTATTTGCATTCGACGAACCTATATAAAAGTATTAATCGCATTCAGCCAGATGCACAAAGGATTCAAATCACAAATGCAAAAGAGCAACCTGATCACGACTCGGGAGTAGATCTTTACAAGGAACCTACGCTCCCAATTAAATGCTGTTAGTAACTCCTGAAGACCCATGCACTTTCAACTACAAACACTGGCTAACTTGTCTCTTCAAGCAGCGTAACGAGACAAACCTACCACGAAGAACGCTTGTTGGTTCACAATGTAGCATTAACCCAGTTCTGCCGAAACTTGCTTTTGAAAAGTACGTTGCCGTCCCAATACGGAGGTCATGAGGAATCAGTACACAGGAAGCATCACTCAGGTGAAGAACCTAGAACTTTTCTGCGATAACTAAGCGCTTCTTCGGCTGGCCAAGTCGGCTGCTGTAAATATGCAAAGAAAACGTGAACTAAAACCGGACTTAAGAGGAATGCAACAGGACGGCAGTGCATGAATAACAACTGACGCACGCAAACGTGACACGTGGCAATGCGCACAAGCCTGAGTCAAAATCAGACCGCGTTGACCTGCGTAATATCGGACTCGCGGCGTACACGCTATACTGTGACCATTGTGCTGTAGGTAAGCAGCGGACCAGCACGCCATGGAGAAATGAGCATTGCGGCGGGACATCATATCTACCCTAAGATTGAGACCTTTAGCACTGCCCAAAAACAAGTACATAAGGTAAGTTGGTCTTGTTACTAGCTTGCTGGACCGTTCGTGCGATTGAACAGGTCACCAGAATCACATTCCAAGGCACAACCCTTCCAGAAAGCACCAAAACCGTAATTTCCACACATGGCAGGGGAGCAAAACAGAGGTAATTCACCGCAATGTAATTTGACCAGGGTTCAGATTCTGCCGCAAAATGGACAACTATGGCGACCCATCACCGACTAAAAATAAGCAACAAACAACCCAAAACTAACATAGGGAAAGGAACATGCACATCACTCTCAACAA